AAAGTAGCAATAGCTTCTTCGGATCGCCTGACTCTCCAGCCATGGGCTTTCAGCTGGGTCACCTCCCTAGGTATGACTGTCCTCCTGTGGACCGGGCTTCAAACCCAATCAGAGAGCACTTGGTTACCCCATGACAGTCACCACTGTTGCACCAATGGGCGTGTCTTCCCTGGCTTTCCAGTATTTTTGCAGACATAACTCACTGCTAAGAAGGACTGTCGACAAGTCTCCCTTAGCAGCCCGTGCAACACCTTCCAGCACTATGGAAGTTCGTCATAGGGGAGGAAGCTTCTAGCTCAGTTCTAACTTGATGTGTCTGTCCTGCAGTATGGTGTCTTCAGCAAAAAGGCCTTACCAGCCTGTAGACGAAATTATAAACAGTCTTAGTAAATAAGAAACACAGAGCCAAATACACAGGTAAACAGCCAAAGAGATCAGAGAGCTGCGACTACCTTATCTTACTACCTCGCTGTCGTCACTACCCCAGAGAGAGAGTTTCTTCCCACCTGACTTGTGTTTTTATTGCCTTTCTGTTCTGCCTTCTCACTGGCTCTAAACCCAACCACATGACTTCCTCGTTACTGCCTGTCTATACAGACCTCCAGGTCTCTATGGTTAGTCCTGGGAGAAAAGGTTCGTGTCACCATGCTTGGCTGTGTCCTTGACCACACAGAGACTCTGCCTGCCATGTGATCAGATTAAGGGCATGGACTAAGACTGCTGGACTTCTGCTTAATGGCTGGCATTTTACCTCTGATCTCCCGGCAACTTTATTTATTAACATACAAATAAAATCACATTTCAGCACAAATAAAATATCACCATACCAGCCAGTTTTGGTGGGCAATCAACCGTGGTGGCAGTACCCTATATTGTTTGAGGAACTGGTCCTAAGAGGCTTCCCTGGCCAACAACTTGTAGTGAGGTAGCCCACTTTTGGAACTGGGATTTTCATTTAATAACCTTACGGCTTCTTGGAAGTAACGCTGTTCACTTATGCTTGGCACCTCAATTCAAACCCTCTGTTTAAAAAAATTTAAATAATTTTGTTATTTATTTGTACAAGTGCGTGTATGTCACAGGCATGTGTGGAGGTCAGAGGACAACTTGGGAAGAGTTGGTTTTCTCCATCATGTGGGTCCTGGGGGATCAAATGCAGGTCATTAGGCTTGGTGACAACTATTTTATGCTTGGAGCCATCTTTCCAGCTCTTAATTTTAATTTTTAAAGGTTTTTGAATCTTAGTTGTTTTTTTCTTATTCAGGTTTTAGTCTTATGTTTATTTTTTTATTTTGAATCTCATAGCTGAAATTTTTACTTTTTTCTTTTCTTTTCTTTTTCTTTCCCTCCCTCCCTCCCTCTCTCTTTCTTTCTTTCTTTCTTTCTCTTTCTTTCTTTTGACAGGGTTTCTCTGTATAACAGCTCTGGCTGTCCTGGAACTTACTCTGTAGATCAGGCTGGCCTCAGACTCACAGAAATTCATCCACCTGCCTCTGCTTCCTGAGCCTTGGAATTAAAGGTATGTGCTATCACTACCCAGCTTTAGCTCCTTAGTTCTTGTGTAGGTCTTTTGGTTGAATCTAGGAACCCAATAAATACAAGAACTGGTTTTATTTGTTTACTTTTTGAGACAGGGTCTTACTATGTAGTTCTAGCTGGCCTAGAACTCACTATGTAGACCAGGCTGGCCTAGAATTCACAGAGATTCTCTTGCCTCTGCCTCCTGAGTGCTGGATTTTTTCCTGAAGACATCGAGTCTCACTATGCAGCCCTGGCTGGCCTGGCACCACCACACCTGACTTGATTTTATTTTTTTGAGACAGGGTTTTAAGCTCAGGCTGGTTTAGAACTTGCTATGTATTTGGTGATGACCTTGAGCCCATAGGCCCCCTCCTCCACTTCAAGTGGATAACAGAAGGCTTTTATTATCCTGAAACACATCCCTGGTTGTTCATCTAATCCAGGGTCTTGTTTCCGGAGATGAGTAACTCAGATCTCACTCACTATATTGCTACTCTGTTCCTTTTTCCGAAACACAGATGCCAAAACTTTCTGATGTCCTTGTTTTAGCTTTTCTGACTTGTTGGATCAAATCCCTTGAATTTGAAACAAGTTCACTATCATTTTTAAGGATTAATTCCTTTGTGAGAGACAGAACAAGCAATACCTGTCCTCATCTGAACCCTATGGATGTATTTTCACCCCCCTCCCCCCCAAATTTCAGATTTCAATCGAGACAATTTAGAGACCCATTTTTCTGACTAATAATGTTGGTGGGAAAGGGAGCATGTGTCAACCTGGCACCTTGTCTTTTTCCCTCCAGGGAGACTCAGCTCTCCATCAATAGATGGAAGTTCCTCTGAGGCCAGTCATAACTGTGTGTCTTTTCAGAGAGGTGCTGACATTTTCTGGAAAGTCAACAGTCTGATTGCTCAGAATGATCTTCATTCCCAAAGTAGATGCAGCAAAGAGCTTTTTTTTTTTTAAATTAATGCTATGTATGTATGTATGTATGTATGTATGTATGTATGTGCATGTGTGTGTGTGTGTGGGGGGGGAGATGGTGAGAGCCTGGGTAGAAGGCCAGAAGAGGCTTTAGAGTTACAGGTGGTTTGGTTATGAGCCACCAGGCTGGGAACTAAACTCAGGCCCTCTAGAAGAGCAGCAAGTGCTCTTAAGCACTGATCTCTCCAGTGATTTTTTTCTTTATTTTATTTTTCCTAAAGACAGGGTCTTACTATGCAGACCTGGCTGGCCTGGAACTCTCTATGTAGACCAGTTTGGCCCTGAACTCAGTTATCTACCTCTGAGTGCTGGGATTAAATGTGTGCACCAACAAATCCAGAGAGAAAAAAAGTTTTTAAAAATTAATTTTACAAGTATTTAGAGATCTTCACCACAGTGAAACCCGAGGACATGGCCAAGGATGATGCCCTTATACCTTTAAGAGAAAGAGTTATGCCAGGTGGTGGTGGCTCATGCTTTTAATCCCTGCACTTGGGAGGCAGAGGCAGGAGGATCTCTATGAGTTTGAGGCCATCCTGGTCTACAGAGTGAGTTCCAGGACAGCCACGACTACACACAGAGAAACACTGTCTTGAAAAAACCAAAAACCAAAACAAACAAACGAACAACAGCAACAAAAAACCCTCAAAGAATTATAAATTTGTGAAGAAATAACAAAACAAACAGATATCTGGACTTGGGTAGTAAATTCTGGGGTAATTCTGTCCAGTAAATACACAGGACTAGAGGAGGTTAAAGGTAGTGGAAAATAAGGGTAATTTAAAGCATTTGTTTATTCAGTTTCCCTGAGGCCCCAGTTACCAGCCTCTGATGACCAAAGGCATTTTCCATCTTGGAATGAGAGGGACTTTCCTCTCAAAAGAATCTTCCTGGCTTACCGCATGTAAGAAAAGACAGCGCAAATGATTTTGTAGCTATAGTTTCTAATTGATTTCAGTGGTAGACAATCAAGATATCCATTTGACATTTTTGGAGCTCCATGTCCTGGACAGTTTTATATCAACTTGACCCAAGCTAGAGTCTGAAAGGAGGGAACCAAAATTGAGAACATGCTTTCATAAGATCTGGCTGTGGGGCATTTTCTTAAGAAGTGATTGATGTGAAAGAGTCCAGTCCATTGGGATGGTGCCATCCCTGGGCTGGTGGTCCTGGGTTCTATAAGAAAGCAGGCTGAGCAAGCTAAGGGAAGCAAGCCAGTAAGCAGCACTCCTCCATGGCCTCTGAATCATCTCCTGCCTCCAGGTTTCTGCCCTGATTTGAGTTCCTGTCCTGACTTCCTTTGGTAATGAACAGCAACGTGGAAGCGTAAGCCAAACAAACCCTTTCCTCCCCAAGTTCCTTTTGAACATGGTGTTTCCTCACAGCAATGATAATCCTAACTCCATCAGGGGAAGGAGCTACTTAACAGTCTTTGGAACGATCCCTCCACAACCTACTGACATTACTCCGCATGGGTCTTCTCCAGTAACAGCTTCGTAATGGTTCTCTTTGCCTGCTGTTACGGCCCGTGTTACCCGATGGACTTCATTCCAGCTCTGTGTCTGAATAAACCTGTTGCAATCCAATTCTCAAACCCACAGACCGCTTCCAGCTGTGCTTCCCACCACATTCCCTGGTACCCTAAGATGCAGACATACCTTGTCACTCTGCCACACCCATAACTGTTAGCACACATCTACAACTGAGGCTCTAAACATTATCCTTTAAACCGCCAGACATTCTTTCCCCTAGGAAACCTTGTCTCATATCTTCCCTTGGCAAGCATTTTTTAAAAGAATGTTTATTAGTTACTTGAAAATTTCATGCCATGTATTTTGACCATATTCACCCCCACTCCTTTCCCTGACTCCTCCCAGATCCATCCCCCACCTCCCTACCTCCTCAAGATCACCATATCTTTTTAATAAGCCATTGACTCCAGTTTGTGCTGCCTGAGTGTGGGGCCATCCATTGGAGCCACACTTTTTTTTTAAAATTTCTCTCAGAATTTTATTTTATTTAAAGACTTTTAAAATTCATTTTACATACCAACCACAGATCCCCCTCTCATCCCTTCTCTCGCTCCCCCATCTCGCTCTGCCCACAGTCCCCCCACCAACCCATCCCCCATCCCCTCCTCCAAAAGGGTAAGGCTGTAAGGGAGTCAGCAAAGTCTGCAACATTCAGTTGCGGCAGGACCAAGCCCCTCCCCAATGCATCAAGGCTGAGCAAGGCATCCCACCAAAGGTAATGGGCTCCAGAAAGCCAGCTCACGCACCAGGAATATATCCTGATCCCATTGCCTGGGGCCCCTCAAACAGACCAAGCTATATAACTGTCTCCTGTATGCAGAGAGCCTAGTCCAGTCCTATGCAGATTCCACAGTTGGTCTAACATTTGTAAGTTCCTATGAGCTTGGTTCAGTTGTCTCTGTAGATTTCCCCATCATGATCTTGACCCTGCACCCCCCCCCCCCCCCCATATAATCCCTCTTCCCTCTCTTCGACTGGATTCCTGCGGCTCGGCCTGGTGCTTGGCTGTGGATCTCTGCATCTGCTTCCATCAGTAATTACTGGATGAAGGTGGAGCCACACTCTTCCCGCTCCAAGCCATCAACTGTCCACAGTTCCCCAATCAGGGGTAGGGGCTCATGAACCCCTTCCTTACCCATGCTAGAATGTTTACTGGCTTGTTCTTGTGCAGGTCTTGTGTAGTAATCACAGCTCCTTCGAGCTGACCCTTTCTTTTGCAAGCAATTTATCTATAGATTTATGTCTGTTGTCCCTAAATGATACATCTTCTTGAAGGCTCTTTTTTTTGGGGGGGGGCAGCCATTTAATCAGGGCTCACGGTATGTCAGGCCCTGCATGAGGCAAGAGTTTCTCCCAGAGTTCATTGCTTTCGGCCAGTCCCAGGCACACGCTTGCTGGATGAACAGGGCAGTGTGTTATCTGACACAATGCACCTCAAGCTGCATGTGCACAGGAATAACTCCAGGGAACTTGTTAAAATGCAGAGGTTAGAGCTCCACCCTGAAGCCTTTGAATCAGAAGCTTGTGGGCAAAGTGTGGGCACCCATGTGTTTAACGAGCTTCCTAATGCTTCTGATGTGTCCTAGACTGTGAATATTGAGAAGTTCCACCTGCTCTTCAGAAAGGATCATCCTCACATTATTCCAGGCAGACAGAAGCCCGCCCTGAATTTCAGCCCCCTAAAAAGAAGAAAAGCAACATTATAAAGTACTAAGTTTGAGGAATTTTCTATTTCAATGCCGTGTGCACTGCTTTCATGAAGTTCCTATAAGAACTGTGCACGGAAACTATTTGCCTCCCCATATCAAAGGAAACTGAGGCCAGAGGTAGGCACTTGTCCAGGAGGAATGGCTGGTGCTGGAAATCCAGCCAGGAGCTTCTGTTCTTTGACGATGTCCCTATGACACTGGCCTGCCTTCCCACACCTGCCTTAACTAATGTCTCTTATTTGTGTCTAGTTTCCCACTGTCCTGAAGTACCCATAGCAAACTGATGCTGGCCTTGGTAGGGTTTTGACAGGCCTAGGAAAAATGTGAAAAGATAAGACAGATGCTATTTTTCTCATTACCATACCTCAGAAAATTGAGGATGTCAAGGACTCTCTGATGATGGCCAGGAAAAAAGGATGCCAAGTCGGTCAAGACCAAGAACAAGGGTAGTGTGAGGTTCAAAGTTCAATGCACCTGAAACCTTTATGTTGTGGTTACCACAGACAACGAGAAGGCAGAGACACTGTGGTGGTCCCTTTGGCAGTGCAGGAGCAGAAATGAACCAGTCCTCTTTATTTGAAATGTATTAAAAATCCTGGAAAGTCACAAGAAAGAAAAGGAGGGGAGGATTAAACACAGCCTTCCAAAATAAACTTCACTGTAAAACTTAAAAAACTTAAAAAAGAAAAAAAAGGGTTAAATTTTCAGTTCTGGAAGATAGAGGGATGGGGAGACAGGGCTGAAGCCCCCACTTTAATTAACGGCTGCCCTCTTCTTCCCAGTTAGAGCAAAGAGGGGTTTATGGGCAGAACTCCAGCACTTCCTGCTTTGGAATTTCAACCCTATTGTAACACACGAGTCTGACATGCTTCCAAGGCCTGTACTCCTCCGGATGGGAGACAGGAAGCTGAGCTGGAATAGGAAAGGGTTTTGGGAGAGCTGGGGTAATATAAATAACTCCCTGACCCCTGCACAGCGTTCTTGCCCCACCCCCAGCCTCACGGTCCCTGCCCACTTTCCTAGTCAGATCTTAGGAGAAAGAAGTTACTGTGTCAGCCTCCCCAGCTGGACTGGGGGCTCCATGGTGGCAGAGGAGCTCTGCTGTGTTCGTGTCTGTATTTCAGATGCAGCCTGCTGTGGTGTAAGTGACCAGTGAGTGCCATTTGTACGCCTGACTGAAAAGGAATAGCCATACCGGAATGAGGATACCTAGAGCAGTGGTCTGTGCAGGGGAGAGACTTTGGGCACTCTGTTCTTCCCCGTTATTCTAAGACTGGCCCTCAGATGCTGGCATCGGGGAGAGGATTACTAATTTAGGGTCCCAGGGCCTAATGAGTGGGATTTTATGTTTCCCCACTAAGGCCACCTTCTCATTCAACTCTTGAGACACTGTTTTCTTTGTCCTCCTCGGGGAGGGAACAACCCCAAAGCCAGCCTTAAACACTGTAGGATCTAACAGGGTGTGTGAGATTGAGGGGGCTGGGATGACTAAAACACCTGGGGGCTGCTGAGGTGGCTCAGGGGATAAAGCTGCTTGCTGCCAAGTCTGAAGACCTGCGTTCAAAGCCCAGGATTCACATGATGGAAGCAGAGAGGAAGGGAGGAAAGAATTGACTTTTAGAACTTGTCCTTTAACTTCTATATGTGTGTTATGGCACACACACACACACACACACACACACACACACACACACACACACAAATATAACAAAAAACATTTCAGAGAACCTGGAATTCTGCAAGCTTCAGTGCTGGTGGTCATCTAATCCCACATATTCTTCTGGAAGAAAGGGAGTCCCTCCTGGGGCATCCCTGGGACTGAACATTCCCAGAAGACCCTTCGGTTGACAAATTTTAGTTATGAAAATCCACTTGGATCTTAAGGCCCAATGATGCCATTGTCAATGAACAAGAGAGAGCATGCACCTTCTGGAAGCTGGATATGGAACATATACTAACAAACTTCCATTCACAATAGCCTGGACCTAAACCAGCCCCAAACCCAGAGTCAAATCACAGAGCCCAGAACATCTTTACTGAGATCACCCTGATCTCACATATTATCTCCAACAGTATCAAAATTCGGCCCTCAATGAGGGTTCAGAACTTAGTTCTGCTAGGTTCTTTGATCCTGAACCATGGATTACATTGTCAACTCTAGGGCTCACCTCCCTGCCTCCATGACACAGGCATTCTGGAATGGATGTTCTCAGATGATTTGGCATTCCTAGGTCAGCTCCTGAAAATAGAGAGGGAAGCAGTGTATGTGTGTGTGTGTGTGTGTGTGTGTGTGTGTGTGTGTGTGTGTGTGTGTGTGTACACTCACTTGTGCATGCAGAGTCTCACATAGACTTGGGGCATGGAACATAGTTAGGAATGGGGATGGGTTGTTGCTGTGGGATGGTCTGTATGTCAATTTACTCTGATTGGTCAATAAATAAAACACTGATTGGCCAGTAGCTAGGCATGAAGTATAGGCATGACTAACAGAGAGGAAAAGAAAGAACAGGAAGACAGAAAGTGATACTGCCAGCCACCACCATGACAAGCAGCATGTGAAGATGCCGGTAAGCCACAAGCCACATGGCAAGGTATAGATTTATGGAAATGGATTAATTTAAGCTATAAGAACAGTTAGCAAGAAGCCTGCTACGGCCATACAGTTTGTAAGCAATATAAGTCTCTGTGTTTACTTGGTTGGGTTTGAGCAGCTATGGGGACTGGCGGGTGACAAAGATTTGTCCTGACTGTGGGAAAGGCAGGAAAACTCTAGTTACAGGTTGTGGTTCACATCTTTGGAGCTTCTTCCACACCACAAAAGAGAAGTAGAGTCACCATACATCACCTTTTCTGGATGGAGTTAACCAAATCAGAAAGCCACATTACCTCGGGGTGGGGGGCATATCCTCTGAGTGTGCCTATCTCTTTCCTTGTGAGTGCATTTGTAGCTGAGTATATCAGAGCCACATCTTCAGTATATGTTTACCTGTGTTTGAATCTTTACAGATTTTCCTTTGTATGCCAGTCCTCTAAATGTCATTGTCCCTCAGAGCTTGGCTTGGTACTTCTTTTCTACTCTATCAAGACCCTTCCCTGGTTAGTCACATCCATATAGCTGTCAGTGTGGCTATTACTTATGCACTTGATCTTAGACAAAAGCCCAAGAAACAATTGGCTGTAATTTGCAAGTCTATACTCAATCTTTACTTCTGGTCAGAGCTCTAGATCTGTATCTAGTGCTTTCCAAACACTCCCCTTTGGCTGATATACATTTATCTCTTTAAAAAAAAACTTATCACTTGGGCCAGGCATGATGATATAAACCTTGAATCCCAGTACTAGGGAAGTAGAGACAGGTGGATCTTTGGAAGCCAGTGTAGTCTATATAGTGAGTTCCTGGCCAGCCTAAGCTACAGAGTAAGGCCTTGTCTCAAAAACAAACAAAGCAAACAAACACCCCCCCCAACAGCCTTATCAACCTACTCTCACATACGTTCATCATAATTTTATGTAGCTCCCTTGTGACATTTCTAACATTTCTTCTCCAGACCTGCAGGTTAAATGGAAGTTCTATTTGTTTGTTTGTTTTTTGTTTTTTTCTGAGACAGAGTTTCTCTGCAGCCTACAGGAACTCGCTCTGTAGACCAGGCAGGCCTGGAACTCACAGAGATCTGCCTGTCTATATCCTGAGTGCTGGGATTAAAGGTGAGCGCCACCATCATCGGGCTGGAGTGAAGATTCTTAGAGCTGGTTAGGTGTGCTCTGGGGAGTCTGGGCCAGACCTAGAAAGCCAGAACTAACCAGAGAAGTTAAGAACAGAAAACAATTGGCATCTCCTGGGCCAAGTCCAAGCTTATTAGAACCTTCAAGATCCGTCCTGACTTGACTTCTCTTATTTCTTCTCCAGTTTCTCTAGATCACAGGCGTCAGCCTCCCTCTCCCAGCTCCAGGGCTACAGGTTTGTCCCTAATTCAGCATTGTCTCTCGTGCTGTTCCGTACACGTCCGAGTCCATTTTCCTAGAGTTGTACTCACTGGTGTTTGCTCAGTGAAGGCTAACTTATTCTCCTAGATTAAACCCTACCTTCCTCTACTGTGACAGGAACAATGAATCATTCTGATGTCTTCTGTTCGTCACTTGTGACATACATTCATTTTTTTCCTGAGGCTATGTTGACCGTACTGGTCTTGACTTTGTGAGCACAAGGCACACTTCCACATCAGCCTCCTGAGCATCTAGGACTACAGGTATGTGACACCACACCCAGCTTCACATCTCAATTACTTTAGTTGCTACACTACCTGTTTGTTTACTTGCCTGCTTGCAGTCAACTGTGAACTCCATGAGCTCAGAGGCTGTTTCTGACTCAATATTTATAACTCCAGCATTTAATGTGATAGCCAGCACATATGCAGGTACACTTTATATATTTGTTGGTGGAGTGAATCAATGAATGGAATGAATAAAATTAGAATAAGTTGTTTCTTTGAGAGAAAGCAAAATTTTTAGTGTCCCTGTCCATGAAGACTCAACATCTATAGTATTGAAGAGAATCAATCACTACCTGTAGAAGCTTGGGCAGATTAGCCAAACTGTTGCTAATACCTGGTTCCTTTGTCCCTCTTGGAGTTATAGAATCCACAATAAAATTGAAGGCTCACTGAACAGTGAAGGGAAATTTTAATTTTGGTGATGAATAGGCATGGAAGATAAATTTGCAAAGTGGCTGCTCCAGGGGCTCGGGCCAGGAGGTGATGGCCATCAGGTGAAAGAAACAAGGGCAGGATAAGCTAATGAAGGACAGGAGGAACCCTGTCTTTCTGGGGGTGGACAGGGATTTTCCAGGAATCCAGATGCCCTTATTTTTTGTTCCTTCTATGGTTCTTTTTGGATGGTGCTGAGAGGTGTCATTCAGCACGTAGTCAGGATCTTAAGGAAGTTAGGAGTCATGGGGCAGTCACTCTAGAATACATCTTAGATCGGACTGGTTTTAGTTAGCCACCTGAAGAGGGACTTCTGGCCACCAAGCATCCTGTCTTCAAAGATAAGATTAGGGCAGGGCAGAAATTTTGTTAGTTCAAGTAGGCAGAGTGAGATGAGGATTAGGTAACAATACTAGTCATTGGTCCAGAGGCACACTGCCAAAGGCCTGAGGTTTGAGGAAGAGAGTCTGAGTTAGGCAGGGAGGAGCACAGCTTCTAGAAATGCTGGACTCTCAGCCTGGTCGAGTGGACCTTGTCCATGCTTTCCTCCCACTCTGACAGGCCTCTGACTCTCAGCTGAACTCAACTGGAAGTGGTATTCCTGGTGAGCACTGTACTTAAGTCTAAGGCTTGGACTCCCAGGGCAGAGAGAAGGACCAAGAATGGTTCTGGGTGGCAGGTCTCTGTGAGTTCAAGTCCAGCCTGGTCTACACAGAGTTCCAGGTCAGCCAGAGCTATACAGTGAAACCTCTGTCTCAAAACAAAACAAAACAAAACAAAACAAAACAAAACAAAACAAAACAAAACAAAACAAACAGCTCTGACTGGTAGGAGGGCAGACTGAGAAGCGGCACGGAGGAGAGATGCAATGGTTCTGTGAGCCAACTATTTATGGCATTACTTTGCTCACTGGTAGTCGTATCCTGTGAATGACATTTCTAGACCTTTTTTTTTTTTTTTTGTATATTTAGGTATTTGTATATGAAGCTTATGAAACTTGCTGAATTGGTAGGGCTAAGGTAGGAAAATGATATGTTTTTAAAAGACTTCCAAGCAATTCTGGTTGGCCCCAGTGTTTGAGACCCACTCATAAAGTTGACATTCTTGGGGGCTGGAGAGACGGCTCAGTAGGTAGAAGCACATACTGCTCTTGGAGAGCTCTGTTCCCAACATCCATTTCAGACAACTCACAGACACCTGTAATACCACCTCCAGGGAGTTCTAACAACTCTGACCTCAACTACACTCACCCCCCTCCCCCCACCGCCACCCCGATGAATCCTTTTAAAAGCTCACATTTTCATCTTTGTAGTTTGGCAAACTGGGGTCCAGAGACACAAAAATGCCCTGACTTGAGAACTCCCTTAGGTGACAGGGGAGGGCTTGGCTTGAAGCTGGAATGTATTTTGTAACTTGTTGATGGGGAATTGAGGCTCCAAAGACAGAGTGGCAGATGACCAATTGCAACACCAGTGAGTCCCGGGACAGGCGGGACCACGGCCATGCTGCTTTCAGTTCTTTCCCAGGAACACATCCGGTAATGGCGTTCATGACAAAGCCTTGGGGACAGCTGTTCTCATTTCTCACTCTGATAAGGTAGGTGGTCTCCTCGAAGCTCCTGACTGAAAAAAAACAGACCCTGAATTTGCCTAGAGAGGAGGTGGTCGACCCCCCTTCCCCAAACCTTGCCTTCTTAGACCCTATTTGGAATTTCAGGTTGTCAATTCTGTCACTAGAAGGGGGCTGTTCTTCTCTGAGGGGTGTCAGGTCAGCAGTTCAGGGCTTAGGGATACCTGGGGAAGGGCTGGAGGACAAATGACGAGAGTCACCGTGGGAAGGGCTCACTGGAGAGTTCAGCTTGTGTCTCTTCCTGGCCAGCACCAGGCTGGGGTCCAGCATAGGGCCTGGCATCCCTATCTCAGAGGTCAGTGTTCCTCCCTTTCCCAACAGCTGACACCACAGCCACAGCTCTGTGTATATATCACATACCTATCCCGTGTCATTTGGAAACCCCCATTTCCATGAAGTCAGCTAGACAGACTTGCATTTCCTGAAGCCAGCGACCTTTTCCCTTCCTCATCCTATGCAACAGGTCTGGATTGGGTAGAACCTTAGAGGTCACCCATTCATTTTACAGATGAGGAAATCTAGGCTAGAGAGGGCAAAGGCCACGGGAGCTCTAGCACACAGTCCGTTCGACTCCCTGCCAGTCCATCCAGTTTTGAACACATACTTCTAAACACGCTCCAGCCCACCAGTATTATAACCATTTACATTGGACTTCTGGCAGTCAGCTAACATTCCTTTGGTTCCTTAATCATGCTTGGGTTTGCTTACCATTCCTGCTTTGCTCTGGTCTGTGTGTCACTGTTCCAGATGTGAGGGGTGTGTGACTAAGGCAATCTAGTACCTGTAATTTGTTTACCTGTGGCGGTCATGGGGTCCACACACAGGTTGGTGCTTGCTTTCATCCTCGGCTTTCAGTAGTACGGTGAAGGATGGTGGTCAAGCCCCAGTTCCCGTCCATAGCTCTACTTGTTCAGTGCACAAGTGTCCACGAGCGCTTAATGCAACTACGATTCTGTATAGTTTATGTACACTGTGTGGATACGTATCTCTTCTCATGCTGAAGGTTGAGTGTCTGCTGACCCTCCCATGTCTACTGGGACGTGTGGCTACACTGTTAAAAAAGCCGTGTCTTATTGGACTTGCGTTCGCCTAGACTGCATGTTTAAAGACTGACAAGAATCTGTCTTTGCTTTTTCTGTTCGAGAATTAAGAGATGCGTCTCGTGATGCTCCCGGGGCAGCGATGTGCTTGTCTCCTAGCCAGGCTGGCTCCTCAGCCGTGGGGGTCCTGGTCACGTTCAGGGATGCTTGGCACAACTCCCGAAAGGGCGTGGCCTTGAGGCCCCGCCCGCGCCCGGGGTGGGAGGGAGGACCTCCTTTTCAGCTCAGAAACAGTGGGAGCCGGGCCGGCGCCGCCAGCCGGACTCCGCCCATCCGAGGCTCCGGCCCGCTCATTGGCTGGATCCGTGGTGACGTCGTGAGGTTCACAGACAGTACTCCGAGCGCCCGGCGCGCGGGAGGTATTGTACTTCTTCCCCGGCTTTGTTCCTTCGTCTGCTCACCTGGCCCTAGGTGCGTCCTGGCCGTGCAACCCGGAGCGGGTGCCAGCAGCCGCCGCCGCCGCCGCCGCCGCCATGGTGTCCCCGGTCACTGTGGTGAGTGCGCGAGCGCGCGAGCCGCGGCCGGAGCCCCTCCCGGGCCTGGGAGGAGGTAGCGGCAAGCCGGGCCGCCGTGGGAGCCGAGGAAGCTGGTACCCCTCCGGGGGAAGCGGCGGCTGTCACGGTTCCTTGCTCTTCACTCACGCAGCACCCCTCCTCCGCGCGCCCCCAGTCTGCCCGCAGGAGGGAGGAAAACATTGTGCACGTGACTCGGAAGCGTGACTTTGTTGATCCATGTGTGTCTGGAGCGGGTCTGCGGGTCTTGGCCTGGGAGTGGACGCAGCAGGCCTCAGGGTTCTGTGTGGAGGGACCTCAGAGAAGCGTTCGGGATTGTGTGTGTGGGGGTGTGGGTGGGGTGGGGGGGCAGACCTCTTGGGAATCCTGCTCCAAGTTGGTTTCCTCGTCATCTTGGCGGCGGCGCAGGAGGCGATGTCTCAGTCTAAGCAGCGCTGTTAAGGCGCTAGGTGACAGTGGACCGCTCTCTATTGGCTTGACCTCCTTTTTCAGACTGTCAACTCTAACCTTTGGCTTGTCTCCCCACCCTTATCAGGCTGACTTCTCCGTCATGATTTCACCACCTACTGCCTGTTTCTTCTAGAAAATATGGGCCTGGGGGGTGAGGGGAGAGCAAAGTTGATGTTTCGGAGGGCTGGCAGGTGGAGCTGGTCATCTCCTCGGGTCTCCTCCCTTGACCATGCCCTCACTCTGACTATCCCTGATAAGGGAGTTTCCATGGGGAGGGAGTGTCAACTCTGCTCTCATCTCTCACCTCTGGCAGAGCGAGAGCAGGCTTATCTCTGGACCCACTATATGTCTCTTCTCTACCCTTCCCAAGGGGCATCAGGTACCTGGTAGCCTGGGAATCTGAGTGTGTCCTCAGAGTCCTCTGTGGAACAGCTTCCTCACCCAGCCAGAGCACTTTAGGTGGAGCTTGGGGTCTATAGGGGACCCTAACTGCTCCCATTCACCCTCAGAAACTGTGAACTAGCAACCCAAGAGAAGGAGCTTCAGGAGACCGAGGAACATCTGCAGACTCTCCTCCCCCATCTCGGACTGTGCCTGCAGTGGCCTTGAGTAAAACCTTTCTTTAGCTGCCCTCCCCCTAATCCAGCTGAGACCCAGTCAGCTGGGCCAACTTCCCCCTCTCAGTTCCCCATCTCCTCCCAGCCTGTCTGCTGGCTCCAGATCAGAAGCTGGGACAAGAAGCCCTCCCCACCCCCCTTCCTGTCTCTGGTGCCTCAAGTTGCTCTTGTTCTCTGGGAAAAGAAATGGCCAACACCCCCTTTCCCCAGCCCTGGAAATCTTTGGTGTTTCAAGCACTGTTTATTGCTCCCAACACAAATCTGTTTCTCTTCCCAGCATCCCTAGCACCTCTCTTTGTCCTTGATGCTACCTTTAGTCTAACACAGGTAGAGTAGGAGCTGAGGGTCAGGCTGGGCAGAAGGGAAAGCCTGTGGGGTGGAGGTGCCGCCACTTTCTACATTCCTGGCACTCACCTGGTGTGTTGCTGGGGCTCTAAGCCCGAGTCCTGGCTCTAAAGCTGGGATCATGAGTTGGTCAGTCAGTGTGTTTCTGTGGTTTTCCTCTGACATTACTCCAGTTCCAGACAGCTGGGAGCTGACGCTCACAGGGAGAGGTGCTACGGGATCCCTCGAGGAGGGGGAAGGGAGGAAGCTAGAAGGGACCAGCACTAAGTTGCAGAAGGGAATATCCCAATATTTACTGTTGGTCCAGTGAATGACTATTCTGGCCTAGTCCCAGGGCCAAGAGTGGACGAGAGTGACAGGACAGTGGGACCCTTGCCTGTCCTGGTAAATTGAGCCTCGGGGTGATAATGGCTTTGTTCACATCCTGCTGGCTGGTTGGAGCCGGACAGGCTAGGTTTCTCTGTCAGTCCTCCTTGTCCTGAGTGGTAGAGGGCTAGTGTATGCACTGTAGCCTTGGGGAAAGGTACTGGGTTTTCCATACCACCATGGGCTTCTGTGTCCCCAACCTCTGAGTGCTGCCCCTTATCCTGTCTCTTCCAGGTGAAGAGTGAAGGACCCAAACTGGTACCCTTCTTTAAGGCCACCTGTGTGTACTTTGTGCTCTGGCTGCCCTCGTCCAGCCCATCGTGGGTCAGTGCCCTTATCAAGTGCCTGCCCATCTTCTGCCTCTGGCTTTTCCTTCTGGCCCATGGCTTCAGGTTCCTGCTGGCCCATCCCAGTGCCTCCCTCATCTTTGTGGGGCTCGTCTTCTCTGCTGTGGGTGATGCCTTCCTCATCTGGCAGGACCACGGCTACTTTGAGCATGGTCAGTAGTTATAGGAGTTGCCTGGGAGGGTGCCTGGGACTGGAGAAAAGAGGGTCCTGGGGTTGGGATAGGGGAAGGCTTTGGAAGAAGGGACAGGGAGTCGGAGGGTTTCTGAGGCTGGGGACTTTGGTCTTCTGTTGGAGGAGGACCAGTTCTCTAAGGGAGAGGGTGAGTTTAAAACTATAGATCTTCCCAACCCTCCTAGTCCCAGAGCAAAAGCTGCTGGGTTATCCCCAGTCCCGTTCTCTTGCACACAAGTACTCATTAGTCACGAAGCCTGCCTTTAGCATTCTTTGTCCCCTCTCACTTCCAGGTCTCCTGATGTTTGCTGTGACACACATACTGTATGCCTCGGCCTTTGGCATGCGGCCACTGGCTCTCCGGACAGGTCTGGTGATTGGAGTGCTGTCAGGCCTGTGCTATGCTCTACTCTACCCAGGGCTGTCAGGTGCCTTCACCTACTTGGTAGGGGTCTATGTGGCCCTTATCAGCTTCATGGGCTGGAGAGCTATGGCAGGGTTGCGGCTGGTTGGGGCAGCCTGGCGATGGACGGAGCTGGCGGCCGGCAGTGGGGCACTGCTCTTCATCATCTCAGACCTGACCATCGCTGTCAACAAGTTCTGCTTTCCTGTGCCCTACTCTCGGGAGCTCATCATGTCCACGTACTATGCTGCTCAGATGCTCATTGCCCTGTCGGCTGTCGAGAGCCGAGAGCCGGTGGAAGACTATAGACTGAGCAAGGCCAACTGAAGGGACTGGGGTCTGCTCCCCTTTCTCCTGGGGCTGGGGCCCAGACTTTGGGAGTGTGCAGGAGCTGGATCACCAGGCACCTCCTGGGAAAGTGGCAGGCTTGAAGGGGTCAGCGGGAGGAGCTCCCAGGAACACTGAGAGCTCAAAGAGGCAGCCTCACATCCCTCGCCTAAGTCAGAGTAGACCTGTCCGAGTCCCAGCAGGACTGTCAAAGCCCTCCTGGAAGACGATGGTGCTTTTTGACGCCTTTTTTTTTTTGGCTAGCTGGAAGAGTGTGACTATCTCTTATGCCCAGGACCAATGGCAATGCCAGGCTCATCTTTTCCCACCTTTTCTCTCCCAAGATGACCCAGGACCAGGGCTTGAAGCTCCTTCCCCAGGCTCCCCGTTGGGAAGATTGGTTGAAGGTAGTCTTGTTTTCCGTTGTCTAGCCTTGTTACTTCCACAATCTCAGTCTTCAAGTGGTGAATGTCCGTCTGTTTATGAGAAGTAATAGAGGGAACTTCCTTGGTTTGGAAGCTTCAGGGGGCCAAGGTTTCAGGTTGGTCCCATTTCACAGGCCAGCCCAGAGCTCAGGCCTCATACGGTCACCTTCAGACTATCCCCAGGGCTAGGGTGAACCATGCCAAAGGAAGGGGCTGGTCTCCAGCTACATGTCTTTGTCTTGCTGTCTATAAAAGACTTAAAGGGGTGAGCCTCAGAGAGCTCCTGGGGGGGGGTGCTTAACCTGGCTCAGAGCTGGGGGCCCTTCCCTGGCAATGCTTTCTTCCTGCCCCGGGGAGTGAGTTCTGAACGACACTTTGGGGTCTTAAGACCTGAGGCACAGTCAATGCAAGGGGAGTAAGGATGGGGTCACTCCACCCTCTACTGCCCATGTGAAAAAAATAAAATAGAATAAAAACCCAAGGGTCATTGGCTTCCTAACTTGTCTGCCTGTGTGGCACGTGCCTGTCCTGGACCCGGAGTGGAGGCATGGTGCCAGGAGCCCTGGTTGTCCTCACAGCCTGGGTCACAGTTGTCTTGGCTCGGGCCTCTTGGCACCTAGCTGGCTCCCTGGCTGTGCTGATACTTCAGTGTTCACTGTGTGTGTGTGTGTGTGTGTGTGTGTGTGTGTGGTGGGGGTGGGTGGGTAGTGACTTGCCATTGTCTGCCTTTGTCCTGGGCGTAGGTCCCTGTGTATCGGTGCTTAGCAGTCTTGGTAACCCTTCATGCACTTGCTGCATTATCCTCCCCTGTCCCCAGCCCAGACCTGCTGCTTCTCTAAGTGATGCAGACTTCTATTCTAGCCTTTCCTCCTTGGACTCTGGGTTTAGTTGAGCGGCCTGGAGGAGTGGAATTAGATGAGCTGATTCTTACTTTAGACCTGAAACCTCAGCAGACTATTGTCTGCCTTACTCCAGCGGCATTTGGATTTTAACAGGCAGTGCCTAGTCCTGGAGTAGAAAGGGTCAGTGGTGAATTATGCCATTGATATTTCTGCTGTACCTTTGCGGGGAATGTAATATAGGAGATTCAAACCTCATGGGTGTTGAATGAATCGACGACTTTCCAAACTTTGTTTTTGGTGCTGGGGATCAAAACCAAGATATTTCGCATGCTAAAATCACGCTCTACCACTGAGTTGTGTAATACTATGAGCTGTTAAGCTAGACCCAAACTAAAGATTTTACAGACACCTCTCATGGGGATAGAGAGCAAAGAAATATGGGGGTGGGGGGACCCGGAGAGCAGGACGCAGGGCCCCATCATTTCAAGCCTCTAGTTTAAAATCCTTCAAGGCAGTATTCTACTGTAAAACATGTTTAAAACTAGTAAACTACACGAGAAGTTCTGTCCTGCTTTGGCTGGATACTAAGGGAGTAGGGTCCTGATCCATTTAAGCTCTAGAATGCTGAACACAGACCCCTATGATGTGAAGAAATGGAAGGGAGCAGGATGGGGAGGAGGAAGTTAGCAGAATTTGTCTTTCTTGCTGAGGGGAGGGTGAGAGTGAGTGTGGGGATGGAGAAGGAAGGGAAGCCCCAAGGGGACTTCATGTGCTTCGGTTGCTGTGTCCATCCGCAGGGTTCCTATTGCACTCCACTCTCAGGAGCAGGGAGGGTGAGCTCCGTGAGTTTCTTGTTCCACACCTTCACCTGCACGCTTACAGTGACGCACGTCCTGGAAGGCAGACTGGCCGAAAAGCCCCACATCACCACAGCTGACGCTGATGCCTCCAGCTCGCATGAGGTCCTCCACCTTCCGAAGATTCTCAGTGATGGATGCTAGGGTTGACATGTCATCTTTGAAAGGTCAAAGCAAATATTTATTAGTGCTCATGAAAGATCTGAAATTGCTGGATTGAGAGTCGCTACATAGGAACTGAGAACTGGTCCCTGTGTCTCCCAAGCTGGATTAGCTGGGTGTGGGATCAAAAGCTGCCATCTCGTCATACTTGGTTTTTCCAGGAATTGTGTTAGGCGCTTCCTCATCACCCAGTAGGTTAGCAAACCAGAGAGGTGGCTAGACAGTGGCACCAGGGCTCGGTTCCATGTTCCCAAAACCAATGAGAGTGACTGTCAGGGATCTCTGGTTGTGGAGTGGAAGCTGGATCCCCCACCTCCATCACCGTGCCCTCCTGGCTTAGTTCTGACACAGTTCAGCAGAGCTGTTCTGGAAGCATGATCTTCTTAGGGCCAGACACTTAGTTGAGCACTTAGGAGACAGAGCAGTGGGACAACATCTCTCTCTCTCCCTAAAGAAAGTCATCTCTAACTGGCCAAATAAAGATCTGTAGCTATGGAGACCACAACCATGGAGGGGCATCACCACAGAGAATTTGAGGGAGTGATAGATCGTGAAGCTGAGGAGATAGGAAATGGGGTGCCTGGCCTGCTAGGATATTAACATGAGGATTGGGAGAAGCTGGGAGGAACCTGAACAACAAAGCATGGCAGGTTGGCTTCACACTGGAGGGGCCACACTGCTAGCCATGTAGCCATGAAGACAGTAGATTGGGTGACAAGGAGTAAAGTATCGCCTCAGACATGTTCATCACAAGCCAAAGCAAGCAGGCATATGTGAGAGGAGCGGTCTGCTTCACACTTCCCAGTGTTTGGGCCTCTCTTCTGCCCTTACCCTAGACCAGTGATTTTCAACATCAGTGCATATCAAAGCCACTCGAGAAAATTTGCAAACATACAGATTTCTTCCAGAACCCTGCTGGATAAATTGTGGTGGGCCAGTCTGGTTTAAACCTGATGACCAGTATCTTTTTAAAAGGTGGGTCTCAGTCGAGCCGGATATGCTGTCACAGTTTAGCAAGGGATTATGAACTCTCCATATCTGTAGAGGACAGGAACATTATATAAGACATTGATAAGATGGGAGAATATTTGTACCACTTGAAAGCAGATCAAATGAAAAGACAGCCCTAGCCAATTGAAGAGAGTGATGAATGGATTGGGCCCCTGCCCTTCGACAAGATGGATGTGTCCTCCCTGTAGGCCATGCCTGGTGGTGGTCTTACCATAGACAGTGACCACGCAGCTGCTATGGTCCTTGCCTAGCTCATTCTTCAGTGCAGTATTCACGACTGTCCTTCAGTGTGCAGGTGGGGATGACCAGGGTACACACAGTGCTGCTGGAGTTGTGCCAGAACTTGGAATTGGCAGTGATGTTGACATCACCCTTGTAGGTAGTCACCATGAGCCATGGGTTCCCAAGGAGGTGCCAGTGATGGTGTAGTCCTGGCCACAGATCACAGTGGATCGGAAAGAGGAGTGCATAGTGCCTGTCCTGCTGATACAATTTCAGCATGGTGCTCAGGTCCTCCT